ACTGTATAGATTTAAGAGATACTCATACAACAGATAGAGTTAAGGACCAAACTTCTGGAATAAAAGGGAATCATGACATGTCACACATGTCATGTATCCTTAAGGGTTAAGTGAACTACAGAGAAATAACACACAGAGCTGGGTGCAGGAAGACTATACTCATAACTATCCCACACAGACAGGATAACTGTGATGGATTATACAGAGATGTAATTCAAAGATACCCACACAGTACATGTCTCTGTATAATGCTCCAGCTCTCTCTATCTTCCTAACACTCTCTTAGCTCTCCATTACTTGATATTATCCTCAGTAGTGCTCCTGCTATGACAACTTTAGCTTTCTATTAAATATTGCTGCTGTTATGAAACATTCCAGCCAACGGTGGAACTACTTCCAGTACAGATGATGCGGCTGCACCAGGGCCTGAGCTGAGGGAGCCCAAGGTGTGGCTCATGAACTAAGGTCCACCTGACGTCAAAGTGTCTTCAGGGGCCAGTCATGCACTGCAACCTCTTTAATCTCAGCAGCATGGTAGGAGGTGACAGCCTGTCACTTCCTCCCAGATAGCAGACTTAGCCACGCAGGACGAAGGAGAAGGCAGAGAAGAGGGGAGCACAGAATGGAAGAGATAAAAAAAAGATAATATTATACACAAACAATGGGCAGGTGCCAGGAGCTGCTGCTATTGTGCACTCTCTATGTTACTTCCAAGATGGCTTCTTTCGGCTTCTTTCTTCTCTCTCTTGTGGGCACTGTAGCTCCATCCCCTGGTGCTATTGGCCAATGGTGGCTGTTGAATAGAGAGGTCAATAGCATGCTTCCATTAATGGGCAGCTGGCTTAATGAAATTTCCTGAGATTCCTTCTTAACCCCTTAAGGACCAAACTTCTGGAATAAAAGGGAATCATGACATGTCACACATGTCATGTGTCCTTAAGGTGTTAAAGGACATTGGGAATATGCAAAACCTGCTAAACAGGGCAGATTTCCAACCTGCCCCATTTTTGACATATAAACAGTTTCCAATGAGGAGGGAGAGGCTCTGCAGTACTGAAACCTATTACAGAATTAAAGAGACACAAATATTTTCACATACTTTTTTGACTTACTCCTTGTCTCTTCCAGACAAAGAATCTTTGTTTTTTCTAAACTACTGCAGATAAATGTTTGACCCACATAAAAACCGATGGGGTGCTGCCTCAAGTGTCCCTATGGATGTGCCACCACTGTTGTCCACTGTGGTTTATTATGAACTGTAACTGATATGATGACTAATGTTATATAATAAGATTTTAATCTACTGATCTGTTTCACCATAATGTAATATTTTACAATAAAGCCAGAAACAGGAGCTAAAACTGTATTACAAAATAAAAATGTACACAATGGTTAACAGTGTGTGTGAGGCTACATGGAATTTAATTTCTTTGACACAATCTATGGTACAGGATATCACATCTCTTCTAGAATTCTTATCATATTTTAAATGTTTACCAACTAGACAAATTAATGCAGTATATTAAGTGAAGTCTGCTATCTACTGACAAGAAAATTAAACTATTAGTCATAGAGTTTACCTTCCTCTCAAGGAAAATTTCCTATCAATGTAGATTAGTTACCACTTCAAAGAATTCACTTTATATGATACATTTAATGGCACTGAATATGAAATTTGCAAGAAATAGAAAATATTAACACATTCCTCCCTTTTACCTCCCTGTTTCATACTAGAATGTTTTGTATTAAAATGTATATCTAACATTAGATAAATCTATATGGTTATAATTTTCACTTAGGTTTATTTAGAATTAGCTCCTAACGTTATGGCTCATAGGTTTTGTTGAAACTTATTTTGGCATCATGGAGGTTAGCATCCAAATCCATCCATCTGAATTCTGACTGCCACAAGAGACTGTGCAATTGCGAAAATTATTGCCAGGATAGCCGTATCTGATCAAAAAGCCACCAGAAATAAAAGTTGTCAGCATCTTTGCCGCAGCATAAAAACATAGACGTATACAACTGGGGGAATTCTGAAGATTGGAATAAAAAAGGACTCAGAATCATGTGAGTGCGACCATTTACATGTATATAAATATTTAAGTCCATACTATATTACCCTATGGTCTTTTCTTTCTTTATTAATTCACATGACAAATAATGTATTTGCGGACAGTGGTAACCTTTTTTATAATTGTATTGGTGTGCTCTTACTACTGTTTATTTATACACTTTTTTTTCATTTTGTATGTGTGTTGGAGTGACTCATGCACGTGATTATAGCCCCAATTTTATCTTTTTTACCAATTCTTTTATTTGTATTTTCCATTTACTAAATGCTTGCCTGTTTGGGGAGATCACCCTTATTAATAAGTGATGCCCAAGCATCAGTGGGCAGTGCTCCCCAGCTGCTCTCTAACAACTTTTCCCATCTAAATGCCCAAGAGCACAACACTTTAATTCTTTCTATTTAATTATCTTTAATTATCTTATGTTGTCTATCAGCACATCTATTTTATTTGTGTACTTGTGTTAACAGGTGGGTGGGTAAAATTGCACTAAATAGGTTTTCCCCAAGAGGCCACAAGTTACCAGTCCTCCCCAGTATGTGGATGTCGAATGTATTCTGCATGCTATTTAGGTTTAGTAGTCTTTGACTCATTGAAATGACATTTATTTTCTTTTGTAGTACATTTTGTGTGAAGATCTATGTGATCTGTGTTTTTTTGCAATATGTTCTAGGGGTTGCAAGATTACCACTGACCAGAAATATAGAATATGCCATTTAAAGTCATTTTACATAGAGCATGAAGAATATTACCTCCATCAATCTAAAGATACTGTATCCATAGATATGGTGCCTAGCGTACAATAGGATTTGCAACATTAAATACGGTACATAATTTGCTAGAGATAAACCTTTTATTGAGTAATGTAACAATCCATACATTACACGTACAGTAGTGTGATTGTACATTAAGAGGTTAATTTAGCCAGATTGCAAAAAAAAAAGATAAAGTACAGAGCTTATCCAATTTGTCTTTATTGCCTAAAACAAGCAATTCCATTGTCACTTCTTCACAATTTCTGTTACTCATTGTCATGTGTTGACTGGCTGTTATTGTTTTGCTTTTATAATTTGATTTGTTTGCCTGTTTTTATGTTATCATTTAGCTTAAGTTATATTTTTCTTTTCTGAAAAACTGGATTTTTTAATTTACTTTTTAATTTCCCCCTTGATTTGTTACCTATTTCTGGTTATTTCACGATGATTCATGCAAATTTGTTGATGTATGCCAAAAATGCCATCTACATACTCAATAGTGTCAGAATATATGCTGCCCGCAGACTCTTGTTATGGAAAAGGTAACTGTTCGGCATTCCTGTTAGGTGGGAAAAGATTTCTGCTGTTGAAACTTTTACAATTCAAAAATGCACTTATTTTTTTGACTGATATTGTAGAAAGCTTTTAAGTTTCTTTGAGATATCGTTTGATCACGGTATTTTGAAGGCATACAGATTGAATGGAGACAGCAGTGGATAAACTGTTATGTATTTCATGCTGTGTGTAATGATACAATCCAGAACTCTGATAAGAATGTCTGAGTACACTAACTGCACCTATTAAATGTAATTTTATGATTTGAATCTGGTAACGGTGCTCCGAACGCTGCCTGATAATACATGACAGAAGTCTTTGTTAAGTCCATAAACCAGAATTCATAATACAGCGAAAAATACCAAAAAAGTAAAAAACGAAATTATCCCTATAAACCCTTTCACACCAGAGCACTTTGCAAATATAAGAACAGAACATGGCTGTTATCGCAGCTCTCTGAAACACATGGAGCAAAACTACACATCAACAAAGCACAAATGAGTAAAAATTAAGTAAATATAATAAGGCTATTAGACTTAGGCATGTTATTTTTTCATCCATATCAGAAAAAATGGAATTGGGAGGTAATGTTTTGGTGGATGTCCCACATCAATTGTCTTTTTTCTCCACCTTTTACTGATATATAGTGATGTCCCGAACGGTTTGCTGGCGAATAGTTCCTGGCGAACATAGCGTGTTCGCGTTCGCCACCGATGGCGAACATATACGATGTTTGGTCCGCCCCCTATTAATTTACTAATACTAAGTAAAAATTACTTAGTATTAGTAAATTGTGCCCCTACTCGCAATACCGCGAGTAGGGGCATGTCTATTAAACAGTGAGCAGCCTGTGGCTGCTCACTGTTTTAAAAAAAAAGGGTCCCCCCCCCCGGTGGGGGCCCTAAATACTAATAGGGGGGGACCTATTGTCCTTCCCCCGGCCCCCACCCCTGAGCGGTGGGTGGGGGCCCTAAAATGAAAAATAAGGGGGGGACCTATTGTCCCCCCGCCCCCACCCCTGCGCGGCGGGTGGGGGCCATATTGATAATGAGGTGGGGGAACTTATGCCCCCCCCGGCCCCACCCCTGCGCGGTGGGTGGGGGCCATATTGATAATGAGGGGGGGGACCTACTGCCCCCTGGCCCCCACCCCTGCGCGGCTGGTGGGGGACAAATTGATAATGAGGGGGGCCTACTGCCCCCCCCGGCCCCCACCCCTGGGCGGCGGGTGGGGGCCATAAAGATAATGAGGGGGGGACCTACTGTCCTCCCCCCCAGCCCCCACCCCTGGGCGGCGGGTGGGGGCCACAAAGATAATGAGGGGGGGGACCTACTGTCCTCCCCCCCGGCCCCCACCCCTGGTAAATCCCCCCCCAAGGTGACTAGGGGTCCCCAAGCCCCTAGTCACCCCCCAAATAAAAAGTCCCTACCTACCCCCCTCACCCTAAAAAATAGTGAAGGGGGAATAAAATAACTAACCTGTAAAATAAAAGTAAACTTACCATTCGACGTCTTCTTTTTTCTCAAATCTTCTTTTTTCAGCCCCAAAAAAGGCCAAATAAAAAACCATCATAACCGTCGAATTGAAAATAAAATAAAAATCCCGAGCGCAAAAAAAAAAGCTGACGAAAAAGAAAAAACCCGAGCGCAAAAAAATAATCCATCTTCACCCATGGAGGGCTCCGCGCAGACTGAGCTCTGCAGGTCGGAGGAAGGCTTATAAAGCCTTGCCACGCCCTACAATTAGGCTAAGAACACTCTGATTGGTGGGTTTAAGCCAATCAGAATGCTCTTTGTCATTTTACACAGCGTGGGAAAATTCAAAAGAACTTTCCCACGCTGTGTAAAATGACACAGAGCACTGTGATTGGCTGGCTTGAAAGCCATCCAATCACAGTGCTCTGTGTCATTTTACACAGCGTGGGAAAGTTCAATTTTCCCACGCTGTGTAAAATGACACAGAGCACTGTGATTGGATGGATTTCAAGCCATCCAATCACAGTGCTCTGTCATTTTACACAGCGTGGGAAAGTTCTTTTGAATTTTCCCACGCTGTGTAAAATGACACAGAGCACTGTGATTGGATGGATTTCAAACCATCCAATCACAGTGCTCTGTGTCATTTTACACAGCGTGGGAAAGTTCTTTTGAATTTTCCCACGCTGTGTAAAATGACAAAGAGCACTCTGATTGGCTTAAACCCACCAATCAGAGTGTTCTTAGCCTAATTGCAGGGCGTGGCAATTTTCCATTTTGAGATACCACTGTATATATGATTTACCACAATATACTTCACCAAGGGCCAATCCCTTTATGTGTTTTCCCCTTGGAGCATTGAAGCAAGAAAACCAAAGAGGGAAGGCGTCTCCCTGCACACACCAAAGTCTATGTGATTTGAGCCAGTCCCCCATTTGGATCTTCACTTGTGAGTGCAAATTACCATCATTTATATCTCTTCCACCACCATTAGACATACTTCAGCATTGGAGATTTCTCTTTTTTTGTCTTATTTTGCATATTCAACCTTACCTGGGATAACCCGATACCCCTATAACTAGGGGTAAGTACATACAAGCGCTTCACTTAAAGGGCTTTTGTGGTGGTTTCTCTTTGTAGTTACCCTATCAAATCCACTACTTTCTACAATAGAGGGAAAAAGGAGGAACAATGAAAAAAAAAAATCTATATTTATGTATTACATATTGTATTACATATGTGAAACATAAATATATAAATATAGAGTTTTTAATGTTCCTCTGTTTTGTTATTTTTGTCTCAGTTGATTTGTGAATCAAATGACAAGAAAATGCTCCTATCACTGAACTGTGAAATATATACATGATATTTATATTGTGTCTGTTATTAGTGAGTGTGTATGTGTCTGTTAGTGAGTGTGTCTGTTAGTGTGTGTGTCTGACTGTGTGTGTCTGTTATTAGTGAGTGTGTATGTGTCTGTTAGTGAGTGTGTCTGTTAGTGTGTGTGTGTGTGTCTGACTGTGTGTGTCTGTTAGTCTGTGTGTGTGTGTACCTTTCAGTTTGTCTCATTTATTTTGTTGAATCTTCTTTGTTAATGAAATTCAGCTGACCTGAATTGCTATATGGCTGAAATTTGGCCCTAGCACCATCATGCACACATCTACTAAACACCATTTCTGATACTCTCATCTTGCACAATATTCCAACTAGTGTTTTATTAAATGTACCCTGACATTATAAAAAAGAAAAATAGCAATTTTAATGCACTTTGTTTTTATTGTACTTTTGTGGATTGATTTAATGCACATTAACTAGTAGGAGATTCAAATAAACACCTTGCAAGTTATTTCTTCAAAACTCTGAACCTCTAGGGGTTTGTCTCTGGAAATTTGTGATGAATTGGCAGGAAATGGTGAGTTTCTCCAAATAGTTCTGTGCAAACCACCAACCATCCATTTAATCATGGAGATGAAATGTGAGAGCGTAGAGTGGTCTGGATTACAAAACATCGCAGCAAAACGGCTAAAATAAAATCGCTGCGTGATGCGGTCTTTGGGGTCAATGTTATTGGAAGCAACATACAAAAAAAAAACACTGGCAACATGATTAAAATTTTCAGTTCTGTTTTGCTATTGCCAGGTGAAAGCTAACTTAGCAGTCCAGAAAATGTAACTCCCAAGAAATAAGCTCTATAGGAATGTTGAATTCTAACTTATTGTTTATGATATGCTCCAATTATCCTGTAAATCCTCTGAAAAACGATTTACATTATTACGGCCATCTTAGTGATTTAAATCTGGGGGAAAGCCTTATGGCACTGAAAATTGCCTAGCAACCACTCCAGTGCCAACTAACCTGGTATGAAAATGAACCAGGTGGCAGCTACAGTGCTGGAAAGTGATGCTCTAAAACCCATGCCACAAACAGGGCATTAGGGAACTTAATAAAAAAGTGGAAAGGATCCATAGAAACTTCAGGAAACCAGAGAACAGATAAAGTCCACTCGTATCTACTATGCAATGCTTGAATTGAAAACGTTGTTTGTATTTTTTATTTATTAATGCTATAACGATAAATGATTTGCATATTTTGGTGCCATTGCAATTTCAGTAGAATTGTAATAAATATTCAGGGACACATTAAGCCATGCCTCAAATCCTTCAAACTACACATTTTAAGCATTTACTTATTATTCTTTTACTGGTTGCTTTATAGCCAATATACGTCTCACACATTCCATAAATGTTTAATTCCCAAATTTGCAACAAATTCAGACTTTAGTAAATTAAATTGTTCAGCTGGCTTTTAGGAACTCCTGTGCTAATCAACAAAAACACCTGTGGGGGGCATTTCTTCATTTAAATGGGCAATTGGATTCATCCCAATTTGTATTCATAGATTCTTGTTCAAGTATAGCCACATTCATCAAATAACACAGTGCAGGCTGAATATTTTACTTTTGAGAATTTCAAATGGAGCCGTAAGTTTGGGGTTTCATTTCTCATACATTCACATCTTTGCTTTATGCTAACGCATCCTAAGGCTTCTTGGGGCAAGCTGGGTCAATCCATAGATTTCGTATTCCACTTCCAACTATGATTGTGAATGTACCTAAGGGCAATGTTCTTCCCACCATTCAAATGTACCTTAATGATGAACAAGGTCAATCAATACGCAAATAAAACTCTAATTGACCATGAATTGATTTTTCTTTTTCATTCTTCATGGGAAACAGTGTAAGAAAATAAGCAATTTCCTTAGAGAGGAAACTTTGTCTACGCGCATTCTGTTGTTAATGTATTCATTCTTCCTATTTAACCATACATTTATTGTCTTTTATATGCCTTGTGTTATGTTGGCATTTTTTTGGTAGCACAGGGGAAATAAGTGTGTTTGAATTAAAAAACTAAATTATATTTTCAATGAAATATTTTATAATTGTTACATATGAATATATTGGATTTGATGTTGTCACAGTCAAAATTACCCCATAAATGCATACCATTCCACAGGGTATGCCATATGTTATACTTTGAACCTTACTGTACAGCCATTTAAGCACCAATTATTTTCAAAGTTTATGGTATTCCTTGATATTTACTTTTTTACATGCACATTGCAATTTAACACACACACACAGTCAGACACACACAGTCAGACACAGACACTAACAGACACACTAACAGACACACACACACAGTCAGACACACACAGTCAGACACATACACTAACAGACATACACACACTAACAGACACACACAGACACTCACTCACATTAACACACTCACTTTTTTTTATTTAACCTCCCCCCCAGCCTCCTTAACTTTTGGAATGCTGGGGGGCGGTTCTCCCATTCCCTGGTCCAGTGGCTGCTGGGCTGCTGGGTGGTCGGGCGGCGCTGGTGAGGGAGCACTTTCCCATGAGCTCTCTGCTCAACTCCCTCGCGCGCCGCCCGCAGAGTGATGCTGGGAGCCGGAATATGACGTCATATTCCGGCTCCCAGTACACTCTGCGGGCGGTGCACGAGGGAGTTGAGCAGAGAGCTCAGGGGAAAGTGCTCCCTCACCAGCGCCGCCCGCCCGCCTGGTTTGGAAGTTAGCCGCAAGGCTAACAAGACATTTGCCCTGGATATTTTGGAAAATGCCGCCCAAGGCAAATGCCTTGTTTGCCTCGTGGCTAAAACGTCCCTGACCATAGTACAATTTTTTTATCTTTTTTTTCTTGTGGTATTAATTTTTATTTTTTAGTGTTTACATACATGTATGTTGACTACTTATATTTGTTTTTAATCTCATGTGCTCTACTGCAATAAAATTGCAACATCTCCTGAGTACAATAATACCCCATATGTATACCATTGCAAAGTATCACTCTTAATCCTTCCTCTAATCCTAAACAAAACCCTAAACCAAATCCTAATTCTAAAATGAACCATAATCCCAATCATGAAGCTCACCCTAAACCTAACCCACACTTTAATCCTAAAACTAACCCTAATCCTAACCTTAATCCCAATTTTAATCTCAATCCTAAACCTAGCAATCATTAGAATAATTATCTCTGCTGATGTCAGTGGAGGTACACAGTTGGTGATTTTAGTAGAGGGATTCCCTTGATTGCCCTCTTTGTAATTATAAACCTAATTCTAGACCCAATATTAATCCTAACCCTGATCCTACTCTTTCATCTATTCCTAATCCCAAGGGTTTTCCACTACTAATATCAGTTAATATCACATGACAACTCTGTATGTGCAGTGTTTCATTAAGAAATGCAGCAAATATTGAGATATATATATATATATATATATATATTGATATGTCCGGAAGTGTAAAGGCAACCGTATTCTGCTCACATGGCATGCTGGCGACAGACAATCAGTGGTGGCACACGTCTCTCTATGCTGACCAAGACCTTCCTCAGGATGGCTATCGAGGTGTCCCACCAACTGTATGGTGATTAGGCTACAAGGCTGCAAGGAGAACTTGGCCTCAGATCATGCCACTAAGAGTTATAATCAAAGCAGTGTTTTAATAAAACACTGTTTTGCTTAGAGTAGCCCCTTAAACCTTTATCTTATACACAGTTCTCCCCATCTGATTCATATCACCTTAAATCTGGCCTCTTAGACATTCTACTTCTGGGAGAATCATTTCATTATGCTCACTTGAAATAAAAAGACTTTGGATTGTAAATATTACAACT